CCCCTTCTTTTATGCTGAAGAATTGCTTTCTTTCATAAGTCAGTTTGTTTGCATCTATTTTATTTACTCAGGGTAGGTGTTATTTGCTTGTATCTTGTTTAATGTGGTCATCCTTGACTAAGAATTGCTCAGTCCTATTTAATTGGTCTCATTTAACCTATTAAAAGGAGACATGGATTGCCGTAGATATCACTCACTGCTTACTTCAGTGCCGATAGAAACCTCCTTATATTCTTAAAGTGGAAGGCAAATTGATGTACACACATTCTAGAATAATTTCTAGCTTTTAGCTTGTAGTGACCTGGGATCTTACTCTATTGCATGATTCTCTGTCTTCTAGGATGAGGATTTATTTCTGAATTATTCTGTCTTTACATAATTGTTTTTTTCCTCCTGAAGTAATATATGAAAATCCTATTCCTCCTAAGCATTGTTCATAAACACTGTCCTTGCCTACATTTAACACCACATGACAACTTTCCATCCACCACTTTTTTTCCCTAATCTTTCTTTTTTCTCCTCAGCTTTACTGAGATATAATTGACAAACAACATTGTATATGTTTAAGGTGCTCAAATACATCAGTATTTTGAGATACACTGTAAAATAATCACCATAATCAAGCTAATTAATATCTCCATCATCTCACATAATTACTATTTTTAAATTATTATTATTTGTGTATGTGGTGAGAACACTTATGATTTACCCTCTTCGCAAATTTCACTCAGGTTCGATTCGTGGTGAAGGAAATCTTTTTGTTTCCTCTCTGCCTACCAACCTCCCCAGTGCATCCCCACACTTAATCCCTCTGTATTCATATTGCTTTACTGGGAACTGACTTTTCTGAGGGCTTGAGGGCTATAGGTACCTAGAGGGCAGTAAAGTCTAAGGAGGCAATGTCCCCAGTTACCACTAAAAGTAAATTATTTTTTTTTTAGTAAATGGATGACTATTCAAATTTGTCTTTGGCAAAGTGTGAATTATAGCCTCACTCAGCAATCCACCTCTTAGGTACTGCCCCATATTTGGGGGGCAAAGTATGTGAGAGCCTCCAATTTTTTCTCTGTCTAGCCAGTGTCCATACAGTTACTGGAAACCTCTCCCAGACTCTGAGAAACAGTTGTTCCTCTTTTCAAGTATTGTTTTGATTTAGGAACTTTTCATCTTTCATCACAGTAACTCGAGGTTCAGAGAGGACATTTCAGGAATTGCTTATGTAGTGTTTAAAGTGACCATTTTTATTCTCACAGCAAACAGCACCTGTGTCAATAATAACTTTGACCAAGGAAAATTAACTTTAGGGCTTACGTTACTAATCAGTGAAATGGTTATATTACTTATTTTCCCCTAACTTCAAGATCTCTGAGTTGAGATCCAAGATGGCAGAGTAGATAAACACTGGGCCTGCATCATTCCATGAACACATTAAAATTACAACTATATTATAGAACAATGAACCTAGAGCACCAACCAAAGTCTAGCAAAACAGAAGTCCTATAACTAAAAATATAAAGAAGCCACTTTGGGACTGGTAGGAGGGGCAGAGATGCAGAGCGGGCCCCAAATTTCCCTGTGCTGGTTGAGAATCAGGAGGGATATCTTGGCCATGGAGGTTCTTCCTGGAGGAGCGAGGAACCCCAGCCTCCCACACCAGGCTCCCCAGCCCAGCGTACTGGTGCCAGAAAGAGGAGCCCCCACAACATCTGGCTGTGAAAAATAGTCGGGATTCTGACAGCTTAGATGGGGTGGAAGGCTGCAGGAAACCCAGACTTCCTCTTAAACAGCCCACACACAGACTTACTCTCAGGCACTCACCTTGGGCTCCAGCGGAGAGACAGGCACTCAGGAGGCCTTGGAGACATACAGGGGCAGACTGAGGTCTGTGGCTGCAGGGGGACGACTGGAGGACAGTTGGCACTTTCCCTGTGAGGTGTCCTTCTTCCATGCAGTTGGCAGGTGGGCAATGGCCATCTTTCCTATGTTGAACCTGCCTTCACAGGCCAAACCTGAATCTGATTGGCCTAGTGAGTTCCGCTGCTCTACCCTGCTGACTCAGCTGGGACTCCATTAACCCAACACTCGTACAGCTGAAGGCACTTTTTCTGGGAGCAGCCAGCCTCTCTGACATTGCACTCTTTATTGGAAAACTATCAAAGTCTACAGAGCTCAGGCAGGCGGTAATTACAAAATAGTCATGGGGATGTAAAGCATAGGGAATACAGTCAATGCTATGGTAATAACTATGTATAGTGCTAGGTGGGTACTAGACTAATTAGGGGGATCACTTTGTAAATTATGTAAATGTCTAAACACTATGCTTTACACTTGAAATTAATATAAAATAATATTGAATGAAAACTATAATTGAAAAATTAAAAGGCAGTGGAGAGGGGAACAGGAATAAGAGATCTAAATTTCCAGGTATGAAACAAAGGAGTCATAGGAATGTGATGTCATAGGGAATATAATCAACAATATTGTGATACTGTGGTATGGTGTCAGATGGTTGCTGGATTTATGGTGATCACTTCTTTAGGTATATAAATGTAGAATAACTATGGTGTACCCCTGAAACAAATATAATATTATATGTTAGCTACATTTTAAATAAAAATCTTTAAAACAAAATAAAAGAAGGAAAAAAATCTCTGAGTATTAATTTGTGATAGTGTGACTTATAATAGGAAAATATATATTTGTTCTTTATCCCTGATTCCTGCCTCACAGATCCCCAAAACCTTGGAACTTTCTTAGCCATTAGAGCATATGGGAGCATCTTGTGTTATAATATTTGGCCCTTTGTCCTCAGTTCCTGAAATTGCTTCAGAGCCATAAAGGTGAAATGGGTGTATTGTTATTCATAACAAGCTCCTTTCCACCACAACTAAGTTTATGTTAATGAAGTGACTTTTGGAAAGCACCTAAGAATGGGGGCTGGTTGCCAGGGGAACCAACCACTGAGTAGGGAGTTGGAACTTTCAGTCAGGAACCACCAACATCTGGGGAGGAGAATGAGACTGGAGGTTGAATCATTCACCAATGGTCAATGATTTAATCTATCATGACTATGTAATGAAGCCTCCAGTCACCTGAAATGGCAGGGTTCAGATTGCTTCCAGGCTGGTGGACACAGGGACACTTGGGGAGAATGACATGCTCAAAGAGAGCATGGAAGCTCTGTGCTGTCCCCATATTTTGCTTTGTATACCTCTTCCATCAGGCTATTCTTGCATTATATCCTTTTATAACAAACTGGTAATCTAGTAAGTAAACTAGTTTCTTGAGCTCAGTGAGCCATGCTAGCAAATTAATTGAACCTGAGGAATGAGTATGCTGTGGGAACTTTCAATCTAGCCCATTGGTCAGAAGCACAGGTGACAACCTGGGCTTGCGATTGCCATCTGAGGGTGGGATGGGCAGTCTAGTGGGACAGAGCACTTTGCCTGTGGAATCTGATGCAGCCTCTGGGTAGACAGTATTAGAATTGAATGAAATTGTAGAACAACCAACTGGTGTCCAAGAGCTGCTTGTTGGTGTGGAAAACTCCATACCATCCACATTGGAATTGGATACAGAATGCTTTATAATTGATCCCAATACTCAGAGTGGCCAAGTGATAGCCAGAACAGAAGTACTGGAGTCAGAGAGAAAGACATAGCTTGGCACAATAAAGAAATGGCTCTTTGATAGGATATTTTACCATCAGATAAAGTAAATGGAGGACATTCATTGCAATCAGTGCCTTTCAGGAAACAGAGAAATCTCAAATAAACAACCTAACTTTACACCTCAAGGAACTAGAAAAACAAGGCAAACCGAAAATTAGTAGAAGGATGGAAATAACAAAGATTAGAATAGAAATAAATGAAACAGAGACTAAAAAGACAACAGAAGACATCAGTGAAACTGTAGCTACTTTTTTAAAGATAAAGAAAATATACAAACCTTTAGTTAGACTCACCAAGAAAAAAAGAGAGGACTCAAGTAAATAAAATCAGAAATAAAAGAAAAGATACCACAAAAATACATAGGATCATAAGAGACCACTATGAACAATTATATGTCAACAAATTGGACAACTTAGAAAAAAATGATAAATTCTTACGATGTGAGACTAAATCATAAAGAAAAAAAATTTGCAGAGGCCTTGTTTTAAAGAGATTGAATCAGTAATCAAAAACCTCCCATCAAACAAAAGTCCAGGACCAGGTGGCTTCACTACTGAATTCTATCAAACATTTAAAGAAGAATTAATATCAATCCTTTCCCAACTCTTTCAATAAATAGAAGAGGAGAGAACACTCCCAAACTCATTTTATGAGGCTAGCATTACCTTGATACCAAAATCAGACAAGGACACTACAAGAAAACAAATTACAGGCAAATATCCCTGATGAATACAGATGTGAAAATCCTCAACAAAATATTAGAAAACTGAATTCAACAATACAAAAAGATCATACACCATGATCAACTGAGATTTATTCCAGGGATGAAAATATTGTTCAATATCTGCAAATCAACCAATGTGATACACCACATTAACAAAATGAAAGATTAAAATCATATGATCATTTCAATAGATACAGAAAAAGCATTTGACAAAATTCAATATCCATTTATGATAAACACTCAAGAAAGTGGGTATACAGATAAAGTAAATGGATCAGAATTCACACACACACACACACACACACACACACACACACACACACTCCAAACCTCCAATGATGACAAGTTTAAGATAGATAAATCAATAAATAATTTGTAATGGGATATATTAGGATCTATTCCCTAAGGAAGTGGAAACTGGATGGAGATTTAAAAAATCAGTTGGAAATAACAAACATTGAATGCCCCAGGAAATCACTGTTTCTTTAGACTCCTTGAGTATATGTGCATACACACACACATATGCACACACACACACACACACACACACACACAATCACATCACACTGAGAAATTAACAGGATTCATCTATAATATCCACAAAATTTGAATGTTCAAATATATTTAATAATGTGATAACTAAAAGACTGTGAAAGATCAATTTCAAAATCATAATGAATTAAAGGACCATACTTTTTTTCAGATTTGATTGTGTTAGATATCTGTGAGTCCCTCAGATTAAGCCTTCAAAATGAATACTTTTACCAATTTCATAGATATTGTATGAATTGTGATATAATTAGGTACATGAAATAGAAGCCCATATTTGTAGCTTAACCTTGTAATAGCATTTTATTTTCTTCACACAACCAGAAGTCTGAAGGCAGGGAGTCTAGCCCCTCTTCTATCATTTTGCTCCATCATCCTCACAAGAAACCTTTTATCTTCATGCTTATCAAATCATGGAGGCAAGATGGCATCTCCCTCTTCAGTTGTGCTATAAGCTGGAGAAAGTGAAAGGGACAAAAAAAGGGTCTGTATTAGAAAAACTAAAATATTCACAGATGTCTTTAGCAGAGCCATACTTTTATGACATTGTCTACCTACACTTTTGTTACATGGCCACCCCTGGTTGTAACAGAGTCTCAGAAGGTGAGTATTGTATCTGGGAACATTGCTAATCTGAACAAAAAGGGGTTCTATCAAAAAGGAGGAAGTGGAGAATAGCTCTTACGTAGAAAATTAGGAGTATCTAATGATGCAATGAATTCAGAATGCTATATAATCACAACCAGTATTTTTAAGCAAATGCTGAATATCAATAACTATTCACTTTTGCTATTCTTGAAGGTTTTGTTTTTTCATGAATAGTCATTGTTAATAATGAAACAATATAAATGTTTTATATACTTTATATCCTGCATTATATTGGGTTGTCAGAAAAGTCATGATGCATTTTTGCAACGAAAAACAGAAAAAATATGTCATGACTTTTCCAACAACCCAAAACTATTGAGAATGAGGTCATTATAGGTCATTAATGGCTTTCATATACTATTCTTTTTTATACATGCCTCATTTTAATGGTGGCTTTAGGGTCCACGTTATGACCAATACTGATTTCCTTTGGACAACATCTAAATTCTAAATCATAGGACCTAAGTCCAATTTCTAAAAATTTTCTGAGCTAATTACCAATATTTATTTCAAACAACATTTCTTTAATGCCCACATACTGATAGTAAAATACTAAGTTCCTACATGAATTCTTTAAGCTTAATGTGGAACATTTATGCAATAAACTCTTTTGTGTTTGGTGTATCTTTGAGAGCTTAATATCTAAAATTCAGTATTTGATAGATTTGTTTATTTAAGGTATTAAAATTGTTACCTCTTTAGAAACATTTTTCTGCACTTACAAAAATATTTAATTGTATTCCATCCCCCACTAAATGCAAATCTTAGGTTCTCTGCATTTCTCAAAACCAGTCTTTAATGTAGATAATCAAGATGGACAGATTTTTCAATGACATTTAGGTAGCGGGGGAGGAAAAGAGAGAGTCAAGATGGGATATGTGTTCTAATGTTCTGTCTAAATAGTACTCAGAAGTAAATATAGTACCTTTTTTGGAATGCAAATCTAATACTAATTCATATCTAAAGTAATATGATACTACAGTTTTACATCTAATTTCAAATCCTCTGTGAACTCAATTAGAATTAACTCTGCTTCATCTTACACATCTTATTGAATACATTTTTTCAAATCTAATACTGGTCCTGTTTATTTGAGTTGATTTATGTTTTATAAACAGTCACATGCAAGTATGATAGATAGGGTGTCAAATGTATCACATGACATGGGTGGTTTAGACAAAACCTAATTTTCTCAATGATAAACACATGTAGAACCTTACATATAAAAATTTTACCCTTATTTGCTTATAGCTAAAGCATTTAGGAAGAGAGACTACATAGAAATAAAATTGAGAGAATAACCAAATAAGAATTAAGCAAAACCAACAAAACTGCAAAATGTGCTCCACATGATACGTGCACATACTCGAATATAGATAAATATATATTTTGTATATATAATATGTGGATATATAACTATGTGATGATATTCTGAAGGAAACAAATTGGAAAAATGAAATCATTAAGTAACTTTGTTTTTTCTCATTATATCCCTTGAAGTATGGTCTACGGGGTAATTCTTGTCCTTCCCTAGATAAAATCTTGGTTGATCCCCTATAGCTCTGTTAAATAATAAATCCTCCTGGTACTTTAGGCACTTAAACTATTTCAGTTCTGAAACTGATAGGTGTAGCCAAAGTAATAATAAAAACTCCGAGCTTCATTCAAAATTAAAGCTTCTGCACTCACCTAATCAGCTGTGCGACAGAAGGCAGGCTAGCAGCGTACAGTACAGTTTAGATAGATGCTCCTCTTTTAACCCAACTTGTCTTTGTTCCTCTCCTCAGCTGCTAACTTGCACTGTTCCTGACCATGCGGGGCTCCAGATGGTGGCGGGACGAGAGGCGAGGGCACAGGAGAGCCCCTCCATGATGGTACTTTGTGAGCTGCCATCATTGCTGTCTGGTTTGGCAGGTGTCATAGCTGGCGCCTGCTCTGTTTTCCCTTGTAAGGTGTTTCAGTTCCTTGTAGGGTTCTTCAGCCATTTACTCCTCTGCCCATTCACTTGCACTTAGCTAGGATTTGGATCTCAGGACTCCATCTCTTTACAGACTCTCTCTGTTGGGATCCTATTGCCTTTCAGGCAGCAGCCCTTTTGCATAAAGCCCTTAAAGTTTACTCCAGGCCAGCTTTCACTCACATATATGTGGTTCACACCTTCTTCATGTGTCTTTGCGCCATTTTCAGATATAATTTCCTTTTTAAAACAAAACTTTCCATGCTATCACAACTAGTATATTTCTGTGTATTCAGATCTGTTTTAATTAATAAAATTGAAATTAAGTTCAAAGCATCACTGAGTCATAGTTATTTTGAAATCATGAATAGAGAACATTAAACAAGTACAATGATGTGTGGTGAACACATTTATTGACTGTTCAAACACTAGGGATTGTTAAGATAGGCCAACACACTTCTGTTACAGAAATAAACGCAAAGAATCAATTGAGCAACAGTTGTTACTGGCCAGGGGCAGAGCAAAGCCTGATGTGATGAACACAAAAGAGCTCGTGGTCTAGAGTCCAAAGTGTGTGAGTTTGAGTCCTGGCTCTGTAATTAGTCACAGGAAGTTAACCAATACTAAGGCATGTAATGCCAGTTTCTTTGTCCACAAAATGTGGATAACAATGCTAGCAATTATACTTTTTGATGATTAAATAAAAATATAACACTCATGTTCTGTATCACATAGTAACTCCTTAATAATTGTTACTTAATCTTGCCTTTTAACACTGGTCAAATCGTTGTGTCTTTATTATTATTATTATTATTATTATTATTATTATTATTACAGCTATGGGTTCTTTGGGTATTTACTTTTTTATGACTTCTGAAACTAGAAATAACATACTTATTATATGAACATATACATATATGTATAAATATATTTTACATTATTTTCAGGTTGCTAAATTATTACAATGCAATAGTTAGATACATATGATGTAGTACTATAATGGGAATCTTTATTATACTACACACAAAAAAAACTTCAAACTATCAAACTATACTTTATTTTTCAAGATAAAGCAAATGAACCAGTAAAAATAAACCCCTACTTCTATTGAATTAATCTTTGGGATTAGTAAACCAAGTAGCTGCAGCTCTGGTTTTGAATGTAATAGAGGAGAGA